ATCCTCAGTTCTATCCTCACTGTACAGATGAGAAACTGAAGTATCAAAGACATAAAATTTGTATAGGGCCACACAGCCATATATAGCCAAGATTTGAACACCAAGCAGATTAGCTACAGAACACTGCATTCTTAATCACCGCATCATGCTATAAATATAAGTAAGCATAAGGTCTTATTAGTTTGCTCTTTGCTACTAAGTTTCAAATAATATGCAAGCTCAACTCAGAATAAAACAAATAATTCAACAAGTAGTTCATGCCACTGAGAATAGAGAAAAAATAGTAAGCACCTAAAAATTTTTCAGTTTCCTTATAAAGCTTTAAAAAGGAAGTCAATATTAAAAATAACAGTTTAATTTCCAAGAATAGACAATGCATTAACATTACTGTATCAAACCTGAAGACCCTATCTACTTTCTCTTGAAGTTTTTTTCCCCCTCCCAATTTAAACTGGAGAATATAGCATACATTAGTATTATATACCCTGGAGTTGAATAAAATGTCACAGAAATACATAAAGCTAATGACAATCCCCTGGATGGTAAAGGATTATTTGTTAGTGTTTCAGTTTTCCATTTAAGGAAGTGTTTCTCACGCAATTTTTAAAATTTTTTAAAAAGTTGCTTTGAACTTAGCCCACTTTAACAAATGTTAGAGCTCAAACTTTGTGTGTTCAGACTGTCACAGACTGTCAAACTACTCAAATGATTTATGTTTGTGAAATGCAAAGTTAGTTTAACAGAATTGAAACAAAACATACTTTAGAAGTAAATATATCATCACAAAAAATCTCGGATTCATTTCATCATTAAGGATCATTATTAGATGACTTATTACACTTACAGCATTTTTTTCAGCAAAAAGCACAGTTTCTGTTTAATCATGTTATCCTTAGAAATTCAGTATCATTCTATTTGAATTTTAATTCTTTCAAAGACTATCCTATTGATATTTTTAAAGTATCCACTGATTTTGTATTAGTTTATAAATTGAAAACTTGTATCCAAGAAACAATGGTAAATTACAAAAGTGCAGAAAAATACTATATGGTTATTAAAAATAATACTGTTGGAGAGAAATATTGACATGAAAATATGTTGATGATTCACTATTAAGTAGAACACTTTGCACTACAGTGGATCCATTCTAAGCCTATATGTCTGTCAGTGTACCTACACTTAATATACAGTAATGGCTGATGAGGATGCAAGAAAAAGATATTCAAGGAGATATAAAATTGAGTATTCTCAGTGGTAGGGTTTCCACTATTTTTAAAATTTAATCTGTATTTTTTTAGTGTTTCCTAAATTTTCTACAGTGGGATGTGCCATTTTTATAACTGAGAAGAGATTAAGAAAAAAGGAGAGTTAATTTATTTACATAAAACCATATTTTAATATAGTTTTAGCACACAAAATTTTGAATGTGAATTAACCTATTTTTTTCACTATTTACAATGAGATTTAAAAGGTAAAGACTTAATTAAATGTAAATTCTCTAAAGAGGGAAAATTTTGTCTTAACATTTGACCTTACTGTAAAAATAAAGTTTCTGAAAAATAGCAAACATTTTATAAAAATCTAAAGTCATAAAAATGCACTTTTACAAGCCTTAAAAATCTCTTTGTAGCTATCTGATATTCAAAATAAAAAGCAGAATTACTTCTTTGTGAAATACACAACTAAAGTAATAACTCGAGTTAAAACTATATTTTTAAAAACAAAGTTAAGGTAATTTAACATAATAATAACAAGAGAAAAACAAATTTTAATCCCTGTTTAATTCCACTTAATTCATGGAAATGACACATAATAGAGCTATTAACAAATGGCTGTATAGCAACTTACAAATATAAATGCTATTATATAATGAAACAGTCAATTAGTAACTCTGACATTTAAGAGGAACATATAATTCATGTAACTCCATTCAGAATTTGATTCAGGTGACAATATAATGTCCACTAGTGTAATGCCTACAGAAACTACACTTAAAAATATATTTTACTTTATACATCTGCAGAGAACTATATGGAACTAGACATACACACACAAAACTTTTGCTATACATTGTTAACTTTGAATATATTCTCACAATGTTGTGGTTTTGTTAAAATATGCACAGGAAATAAACATTTGACACAGCAACAGAAATAAAAATGTGAGAGAGAGGTGACATTAAATATATGCTTTTAGAGAAGAATGGGACACAAATATCTTTCTCTTAATACTGCCTGACATATTTGATGATAGACAACAGTTAACTGATTAATGTCCCAATTTAATAAATATAAAACCTAATGATTTCACAGACAATAGTGTAATTATGAAATAAAACAGGAAATGGCTCTTTCCAGTGAGAAAGCTTTAAAGAAACCAACATAATGTCAGGCGTAGTGGCGCATGCCTGTAATCCCAGCACTTGGGAGGCTGATGCAGGAGGATCGCTGTGAGTTGGAGACCAGCCTGGGCTACACAGTGAGTTCCACGTCAGTCTCAACTACATAGTGATACCCTGTCTCAAAAAAACAAAACAAAACAAAACAAAAACCCCAAAACAAAAAACATTAAAATAGCCATCAGTTTCACAGATAACTGCTATAAGGATGCAACTCCTTCACATTAAGAGCTAAAATCTGAGTAATGTTTATTCTATTATTTCTTAACTAAAAGGTTGATAAATATTCTCCCTCAAAAATTAACTCACAAAACATAAAATAAAAAGCTGGAAATAGTCTCATACTTAAATACTATATTTTCTTCTAAAAATCTGTCCTTGTATTATAATTACAAGAACATACTGTTCATTGAACCATATTAGAGTTCAAACTCATTAAACTCAACTGCACTGCAGAATCAATTATACTCCATCTATGTATCCTACATAGTAGTAAAAACTATTAAAGCTTCAAATTTTCTGCATTCTGTCACCTAAAAAGAATAAAGACTTCAAAATTCTTTGTAGCTTGGTTTTGAAACCAGAATAACAAAAGGCCCCTTTCGAACTTTAGAAAGGTATTGTCTGGGGAAGTAGGAAAGATGCACTGTACTCATCGGTAGTCAGTTAAGAATAAGCCACAACAAAGAGCTCCTTCTCCCCTAAAACCAAAGAAGACCCAGTATCTTGGGCTTCAAAGAATCTTACATAAAAGCCATATAAACAAAGTTTTTATGCTCACTTCAATCTATACCAGACAAACATTTTTGCCTCCCCACAACTACAAATGCCTTACATCAAGTTGGCCCCTCACTGGTGAAAAAAAAATAAATGTGCCCTAAGGTGTACATACTATGTTAAACTTTTTGACACCGACTGGGTTACTACCTTGCCCTGTGGGTAGTTAAAAGCTCAGAATACAGATAAACTGACAGAGCAGTCACCAAGAACAAATCAGTGTTCAACACTGAAAAGGACATACAGTATTTCTAAGTGCATACTTGAAGGAAGTACACCAATATTAAAAGGAGTTATCTCTAGAGAAAGATGTGAGTAGAAGTGGAAATATGCAAAGAAAGTTTAAACTTATAAATATATCGAGTTGTTTTAATTTTTCATGAACAGTTTACTTTTGTAATTTTATGAATAAAATTTAAAATAAAAATTTGAAATGTGATTTCATTTGTTAAAGATTATACAGATAGATCTATAGAGTTCAAATGAAAAATAAAAGTCATTTTGTACTAGTTTGGCTACTACAAAACCTACCTATCAAACAAATAATGTAAGTATTTCAGCTTACAAAATAAATACTAAAATGCCCCCGTTATCCACTATTAACTACTCTGACTATATTATATTAGTCACCAGAGGGAGTTTGAGTTTGCCCTCCCTAAAATCTTACCTATTCTATTAACCTGCTTTTCAATCCTAATCTCATGAAAAAGATTAAGCTACCTAAGCTATGAAATCATTAATACAATGCTTACCACAATCTTAAAAATGTTTGTTTTTTGCACCATCAGAACATAGCCTCTCCGTTTTATTTTTCATAAGAAACTACACACATACACACACACACACACACCCTGATTTTCTTAAGGGAAAGAAACTTTCCCCAAATGAAAAGCACACAAACCCATACAATCAATTTTACAATTCTAATGGAGGCCAATAGAAATAAACTTTTATACAGTTATAACTACTGAAAAAAATAAACGAGGAACACAAACTATATTCTTAAAGCAGCATAACTCAATCATTATGCCAAATGTGTACAGCATCGTTAAATATTTTAGCTAGAAAAAAATACATCTTTAAAAAATAAATTTGTCTGTGACGTCTGCATCTTAAAACTTGAATATAAATAGCCGAAGTTATCCTATACTTTGTTGCTGTTTAATATTAAGAGAAATCATTAAGTGAAAAGGATCAAAATCATCATAAATTAGGCAACAAAAACTACTTAAATTATCTTAGGGAGATGGATTTTTGTTTAAACTACTTTATTAATTCACAATGTGGTTATAAAAATTTTAAAAATACGTACATATGGTGTATCTCTTTCCCACCCTTCCCTTGTCAGATGACTTCTCCTTTTCCCATCAGTTTTCCAGTACTCATTTTCCCAAGATCATCATACATAGCAAAGGAAACAAGTTTAACCCCACTGTTACACCCCTGACACAGAAAACACTATTCATGCTGTTCTACACCTTGCTTTGTTCATTCTGACAAATTTTTGAGATCATTCCGTCAGTACACAGAAAGCTTCCTCATTCTTTTTCTTCATCCCTGATCACAACTAGTCGTACCACATTTTCAGTCTACCTTCTTCAGACTAATCAACCTTAAATGTCATTCTGTTTAGTCAACTACTTCACACAATAATTTCCCTCCTCCAACAAGATTATAAAACAAACCAGATTTGAGGTGTCCTAAGGAATACCTTTCAGACACCTTTTTAAGACTTTATTTTCAAATACGTAGGGGAAAAACGTCACAGTTTTTGCTCTGATCACTTAAAGCTATCAATCAGAATGCAATAAACAAGCGTGATTACCTTCACTTTGATTTCGGGGATCAGCACGCTAGCCGAATTAACAATGACTGCAAGTTTATTTCTTGTGCTTTTCTTTTGCTATAAAAGAAAACATTGTTTCTGTTTTTGAGAAGAAGGCTAGAAAGTCTTAAATCATATACAGTGGCATTCTAATAGTACAAAACTACGGCACGAGTTGATCTGTCATTTGCCAGGTCAGAGGCCAAGACCTCTTTCTCTCTTTCTGAAGGATTTTCCAGACTACTCTCAACCGGACGGCTTCCACAGCAACGAGGAATACCCTCAGGAACACGGACCCCGCGGCTCTGCGCTCAGGGGACTGCACGCACTGCCCGAGAGCCAGGACCATCTCCCGGGAGGCCAGCTCCGCAGGCGGAAAGGGACCTAGACGGCCGGCCGCCACGGCGA